CCTTCTTGAAGCCTCCTGGGGTTCTCTTGGGGCGGAAAACTCAAAGTTTCGGTTCATGTTCCCCCTCTTGAGCCTCCGTCCTGGCGCAGCCTGGGAGCCTTCGGATGCTGTTTACAAAACATCTTTGGCGCTCTCGGGGTGTGATGGACCAGTGCGCCCACGGGGCCACTGTGGAGGCCACGAGGGCGCCAGTGGGACCCCCGGCGCCCCCATGCCAACCCGTGGCCGCAGTTCTGGGCCCGCCCCCTGTCGACCCTGATATCTATTATATAAATGTAGATACATAAATGTGTAAATGTGTTTGTAAATATAAATACATACACGTATATACAAACGCATGCACATATGAATAAATACATATATATATATATACGTATATATGTATATGTATGAATATATATATATATGTGCATATATACACATATTTGTATAGATATACATATATATATGTCCATATAAAATGCATATATATGCATATACATATATATGAATACCTGCACGTATATATATATATATATATATATATACACATATGCATACATATGTATATGTATATATATGTATATGTGTATATATATGGATGTATATGTGTATATCAAATGTATATCCATATACTTGCACATGCGAACGCATACACACATATAGGTTGACAATATACAGTTGTACACATATATAGACACACATGTATACATATATATAAATATGTATGATGGCATAGAGTATACGTTTAATTATATGTGTATATGTAAAGCAGACTCCGAATGTGTGTATTGTATATATGTAAACGTATATGTAGATGTGTGTATGTACATATAACGGGCCATGATAGGGGGCACCTTGAGCTCGAAGACCGCCCAAGATCGCGTCAGGAGGGCCGTTCATCGCGTCTCCTCTCTGGAAGCTTCGGGATCGCCATGAGTGCCTCAAGGCGTCTGGGGAGGAGGGGGGGGCCTCTGTGGAGCCTCTTGGGGGCCTCTTGGGGCTTCCTGGAGGCCCATTCGGGGCCTCTTGGGGCCTCTGAGGGGCTTTTGGGCGGCTTCCTGGGGCCTGCTGGGGGCGTCTTGGGGCCGAAGGCTTGAAATATCCGTTTGGATACCCCTTCTGGGCCCCCTCTTGCGGCCGTTTTGGGGCATTCATGGGCTGTCTTTGGGGCCGGGCCTTCTTGAGGTTCTCTTGGGCCGTCTTGGAGTTTTGTAGGGAGTCTCTTGGACGGTCTTGGGGGGATCTTGGAGGCCTCGCGGACAGTCTTTGATGCTCTGAAAGCTCCAAAGACAAATATTCCAAACATATACGATTTTCCAAAAAGGGAATGGGGCCATTGTTGCCTCTTGAGGCCCTCGTAGGAGTCCTCTTGGGGGCCTCTGGGGGCCTCTTGGGGACCTCCTGGGCCGTCTTGAGGCCATCTTGGGCGTCTTGGAACGATATTTCGGCGACCTCTGGGGTATGTTCGGGTGACGCCGATAGCAGCCGCCGCTCCAGGGGCGGTCGTCCTTTTTGAGCGGCGGGCACCTCGTCCTCCCCCTGCTCGCGCGCCCCCGTCTGGTATGGGGCGCCGGAGGGGAGGGCCAAGCAGAGCAGGAGGAGGGGGATCAGGAGGAATGGGAAGGAGAGGAGGGGGGTCAGGAGGAGGGAGCGGACGAGGGAGGGATTCTAAGTCGCATCGCTACACCCTTTTCTCAGCCAGGACGCTATAAGCAAAGCCCGTCCAACGCAAAAAGGAAGGAGGGAGCATGGGGCAGGGAACAAGAGGAGGAGGAGGAGGAGGAGCATCAGAAGGAGGAGGAGGCAGGGAGAAGGGTCCGCATTATGGTCCGAGGCGTATGCGCGGACGAGGGCGGGGTGGGAGGGAACGCGCTGGAATCATGACGCTATATTTAGAACAAATTAGCAACAATCACACCAAGAGGAGAATCTGCCACCGTACCTGCACGATGTGGGTGTCATAGAGTGCCAAGTGCTGCGCCTGCCGCACATACACAGAAGGGGCCAGAGGCCGGGTACTCAAACCAGGGTTCCTCGGAGCTCCCGGGCCTCCCTCCCCAATGTACATACATACGTACGTACATACATACATACATACATACATGCATGCATACATACATACATACATACGTACATATATACATACATGCATGCATGCCATCATGCATGCATGCACACATGGACACCTGTATATATGCATACATGCTTGCATACATACATGCATACATACATCACACCTACATACCTACATACCTACCTACGTGCATACATACGTATAGACATACCTATATACATGCACACATACAAACATACATACATACATACAGACAGACGGACAGACATACGGACATACATGCATGCATACATGCATACATACATACACTACATGCATACATGACATGCGTGCCTACACAAAGGTATGCATACGTACATGCATGCATGCATGCATACATGCATACATGCATGCATACACACATACATACATGTATATATGTATGCATACAAACATACATACACACATCTATATGTGTGTGGGTGCTTCTGGTGATGTGTGGTTGTGTGTGGTTGTGTGTGTATGTGTATGTGTTTGTGTGCCTGTGTTTGTGTGCTTGCGTTTGTGTGTTTATGTGTTGGTGTGCTTGTGTGTTTGTGTGTTTGTGTGTTTGTGTGTTTGTGTGTGTGTGCGTGTGTGTGTGCTTGCGTGTTTGTGAATTTGTGTGTTGTGTGTTTATGTGTGTGTGTTTGTGTGTTTGCATCTTTGCGTGTGTTGTGCTTGTGTAATGATGTGCTTGTATGTGTGCGTGCTTGCGTGTTTGTGCGGTTGTGTGTTTGTGTGCTCGTATGTTTGCGTGTTTGTGTGTTTGTGTGTTGTTGTCTATGTGCGCATATATACAGGAACCATCGCGAACGCACAATGAGATGTCGAGGGTTGGGCGACGGTTGTCGACAGGACGTCGGGCCAGAAACGCGACGGGAGCATGTAGTAAACAACCTTTTCTTGAGCAAGGAGGTATCCAGGAGGACGACGAAGAGTACAGGAGCATGACGGCGACGACGACGAGGGAAGAACGGGAAGGAGGGGCAGGAGCAGAAGGACATGCGGAGCCTCTGAAGACCAAAAAAAAACATAAAGGAGGACAGAGAGGAGGGGCTATGGCGCCCCTTGTCCACATGTGCACCTACTGGTGGCCGTCGGTCCATCGTGCCTCCGTGCCTGGAATGTTGGTCAGAGACCTCTTGGATACTTGTTGGGGTCTTTCGGGAAGCCTTGAAAGTGGGTTCATACCCCCCCCCAGCCCCCTGTTGGGGCCCTCTGGGTGCCTCTTGGGCCCTCTTGGGGCCCTCTTGGGCCGTCTTGGATGCTGCGCACGTGAAAACAGAGAGTGTGCTGGAAATCTGCATTTTCCTGACAGAATGCGGAGTGGTTTGCCTTTTCAGGCCCTCTGGATGGTCCTCTTGGAGCCGTTTTGGTCGTCTTGAGGTCTCTTAGGCCATCCGGAAGCCACGTTGGCCCGTCCGGGACCTATGTGGAACCTACCCATTCGCTCCGGGGTCGCCGGCGAAGCTCCGGGGAGGCTCCGGGAAGGCACCAGGGATGCGTCGGGGGGGCGAGAGGCACTTACAAAAATCGGTGCCCCTGGTGCGCTGCGGCTGAAGCCCTTGACTTCGGGTGATCCGGCAGAACGCACACACACAAACATGTATGTTTGTAAATAGATGTGTATACACCGAGATGGACTGAGCAATCTACATAGGTATATATATATATATATATATATATATATATATATGTGTATCCCCCGCCGTCTGGCCGCGCCATGCACGAAGCGCCAACTATACAAGGTGGCGCTCCGTTTTCTCTGGAGAGGCAGCGACACGCCACAGGCCGAGCCAGATCAAACCAAGATTAAATCGAAATTAGATCGAACACGCCATCTGCAGGCTGAGGGTGCAGAGGAAGAGAGAGCAAAGAGGGAGGGAGGGAGGGAGACTTGAGCAAAGGTGGCCATCGGACACGATGGACGGCAACGGGACCGACGGCGATGATTCAAATACGTGTGGAACACTGAACTGTATCCCCCGCCGTCTGGCCGTGCCATGCGCGAAGCGCCAACTATACAAGGTGGCGCTCCGTTTTCTCTTGAGAGGCAGCGACGCGCCACAGGCCGAGCCAGATCAAACCAGGATTAAATCGAGATTAGATCGAACACGCCAAAACAGACATTTGCCCAAAACAGTCGAATGGCCGACGGCCGTAAAATTCATTTACACTCTAGACATAACATTCTGCATAGCTGACGCTCTTCGGTAAACGATGGTATCATCGAAGAGGAGCGCCAGCTGTCGACACAAGGGCGAGGGGTAAGCTTCGGCGACAGCAGTCCACAATCGACCGTCGGGAGCCCGACCCTCGAGGACTTGGTGGGGGCGACCGCTCCGGCTACAGCACCCGTGCACACGCTTGCAAACTTTGACAAGTGGAGAGAGGTCGAGGTGGGCGGCCAAGAAAGACGTGCGCTTCCTCCAAGGCGCGCCCCACTGGCAAAAATCAGTGTTGACAAGAGTCCAGGCCCTGGATCGGATGAGAGACGCGACAGCGGGAGCAAGCCAAATCCGTGAGGTGCCTGGGTTCTCCATAGAACAAGGCACCTGCATGCGCTTCGCCACTAGGAGGAGCGACACTGAAAATCTCATCATCAGATTTCCGAAATCAACTGCAGACTGGGAGGAAGCACTCAAATCAGGCAGACCGAGAACGTGCGCATCAGAGCGGAGGCGCGGGGGGCCTGGCTGAATATCGCGGGCCCTCGACCAGCTCCCACGCGGAGTGCCGATTTGCAACCCAAGAACCAGACCCCCCAAGATCCAGCCGCGCACAAGACGGCGCTTGGCGGGGCCCCTCAGATCGCACTCAGCCCCATGACGGATGCCCCAGACCAAGACGCGGCACCCGCGTCGACTCATGGCACGGCTGAGACGCCCCGAGCCCGAGGTGACCTCCAAGAACACCCGCACCTTCAGCAAGCCTGGAGCGGCGGGGCAGCGAGCCCCCCTAAGAGCACCTCGGGGAGCACGCTGTGGCACCGCAGGGCGCGCCTTTGGAGCGGTCCTGGGAGGCGGGCGAACTGCTCGCTGAGACGCCCGCCCCTCTCGTAGCGTCGCACCGACGCGTCGGTCTTCCACCGGCCCCTCCTCTTCACCTCGCGGAGCGGCCGCAGCTGGTTCACGAAGTCCCTGCCGGCGCCCGCGTGGCGGAGCAGGCACGGCATGGGCTCGGGCTTGACCCCGAAGCGCCGCGCCGCCCGCCTGAACAGCGCCGCGACATCCGCGACGCCGATGCGGAGGAGCGGCTCGTCCCCGCTGCGGCCGGCCACCAGGCGATGGAACACCCCCGACAGCCACTGGTCGCAGTCGAGGTCGAGGACCATGCTCTCGTCGAACTCCGCGGTTTTGCTGGCCTTCGCGCCCTCGCCCTCGCGCGGGCGCAGCAGCAGCGCCCAGTGCCGCAGGGCCAGGCTGCCCGCCGCGCGCGGCGGGACGGCGTGGCGCACCAGCACCCGCCCCCACTCCCAGGGCCTCATGTAGAACACCATGGACAGCACCGCGCAAGCGGCCGCCTCCCACTAGCCCATCAGGACTAGCTCGCACGCGACGGCCGCCACCAACTCCTCGGGGAGCGGCAGCCTCGCCCGCGGAGGCGTCAGAACCTTCCAGCCCCGCAGCGTCTGCCGCGCCGCCGGCAGCGAGGCCGACCCGTCGCGGCCGAGCCGCGGGTCGCTCCACTGCAGCGCCGCCAGCATCTGCACCCCGCGCCAATGGTCGACACCCTCGAGATACTGCGACAGCATCCACTCGGCGAGCGCCAAGTCGATCCTCTTGACGTCCGCGTCCGAGAGCGGCCCCACCTCCCCGTGGTCGACCGAGAAGCGCGGCCGGCGCGGAAGGCCCTGCTCGTCCATCCACTCGTCGAACTCGTCGTCGAGCTGCTGGTAGCGGGTCCTGGCGGTCAGAGTGCGCACAGTGCTCCTCCTCAACATATCCCGCGAGCCCTCCTCGGTGAGCTTCGCAAGCCGCCGAGCCAACTTCCTCCGCTTCACGGCCTGCGAGGTCGCCAGGTTCGTCGAGTCCAAGGGCGGCAGGGAGCCATCCGGGCCCGCGGGGCCCACCTCGTCCAGCAGGCGGCGGAGGCGGGGCGCCGTCGCCGCGGGCGGGCTCGTCAGAGCCCGCGTCCGCGGCAGCTCCATGGCATCGACCGCCTCCGTCCGAGGTCGCCGCCGCGTCAGCGCCACCGCCTCCTGCTCGGGCATATCCAGCATGCCGGAAGCCTCGCGACGGACCGTCCGCGTAGTTCCACTTGCTGGGCAGCCATCGGGCGGCGAGGCGGAGGCCTGTTGCCACGACGTGGGCAGCGACTGCGCGGAGCGCCCCGCAGACCCCCGGCGCCGAAGAGCGCCCCTTGCTCAAAGCCAAGACGGACGACAGCGAGTCCGAGAGGAGAAGGTGGTGGCGCCCAAACGACGCTGTGGATCGGCAGATGTGCTTAACCCCGAACGCCAGCGCCCGGGCCTCACCCTCAACGATGTTGTCGGGCGGGCCCCCCCACTTGTGCGAGCCCACGACAGCCCAACCCTTTTCCCGAAACTCAGCAGGCAGGCGACTGACGGCCGACTGGCGAGCGTTGATGCAGGCCTCCTCCGAGCCCACGATGTCCTGGAAATCCCTGGAGCTCTCGAGAGGCCCCTCGCCAACTCCAGCCCAAGCCCTCGACTGCACATCGCTGCCCTCCAGGAAACGCCACCTCTCCGAGAAACTGCCCACGGAGCCCACGAGGTCCTCTTTGAAGCCCTTGCTGACCAGCCCGAAGCCCCAGAACGACGCGTCACTGCACATCACCGTCGGACTCCAGTCAACCAACATACTTCGCGAGATCATCCCCAGAAGGCTCGAGAATGTGTTCAGCTCCCAGCGAACTGACTCCCAGAGGGGTACAGCGGTACAGTGGCGCAGCCTCCGCACGAACGAGTACACGGAATTGAAGATGGTCAAATGCTCACGACATAGTAAGGCGACAAACGTGCAATGGCCCAACACTTTGTCGACGTCTCTCGGGCCCACGGCACTGCGACTGACCAGACAGTCGAGAGCCAGCCGAAGTCGCCACAGCCTTGATCTCTCGGGTCGAATCTCGCACTCTCTGCCCCGGATCTCCCAGACAAGAATGTCGGCATTGTGATCGCACATGCACACCTCGTGAGTGGGGAGACCCTTCTGTGTCAAGGCCGCGTTGACTAAGGCGACGGCACGCCGCGCCGACTCGGGGTCGGTGCCCAAAGCCAAAAGGTTGTCAACGCATACAGTCATTGCCAGCGGCTGCAGCCCCGGCACTACGCTCTTGTCCGCGATGAACGGCACATAACTCAGCTCGGGAATCGAGCTGACAATGGAACGGTGGACGGTCTGGCACCAATACAAAGCGTGCGACCAGCCCATCGGGAGCACGGCCAGCACCGGCCAGACGCGGCTCCCAGGCTGTAGCGGCCGCTCACGGAGCCGCACCATCCCCACGCCCCCGGCCTTCACGGACGGCAGGGCGAAGTAGCCCCGGAAAGCCTCGGGCAGGCCGAAGCGGTAAAAAGCGTCGCAGATGTCCACGTGCCCGACGTAGAGCTCCTTGCCCTCAGGCACGGCCAGCTCGCCCAGAGACGAAGCGGTGGCAAGAGCAACAGCGGCTGGCCGTTGGAACCAACAGTTGGCCCGACGGCAATCGACCACCATGCGCTGCTTGCCAGACTTCTTACAGACGAAGAACAGGCCGCACCTCTCGCGGGGCGTGTCCGTGTAGGTCACCATCCCAGCGTCGGCGAGCCGCTTGACCAAGCGGGAATAGACCCGCGGTTCACCTCTCAAAATCGTGTCCATGTATGGCTGCCTCGGGGCTGCCAGAAGATTAGATTCTGCCTCCTCAGTTCGAAGAAGCTGCTCGTGCATTGAGGCCTCGACATCGAAATCGCCCACGTCCTGGGGCAGCTGCCCGAGCGGCACAGGGATGTTGCCGGCCTCCGGCAGCGAGACAAGGGAATCGTCGAAGCTGACCACCGGCGAGTCGAGATCTTCGCACACGCTGGCGCCGCGGAGCTCTCTGAGGGCCCCCGCGGGGGTGAGGTCGGGTGGCGGCGGGCCCAGCTCGACTGCGGCGCGGCGGACGCGCTCGTGCACCAGCCGATGGAGAAGCCGCTCCGCCAGGCCCGGGGCGCTTGGCGCCTGGGGCCTCCCGGCCAGGTCGTTCAAGGCCCCGACGACGCGGTTGCACTCCTGCACGACGGCGTCACGCCGAAGCAGCCGCCGCCGCACGCTGCGGCACACCGCGCCCTCTGAGGGCGCCTGGCTGTCCACGCGCAGGAGGGGGACAGGAAAAAGGTTCCGACGATCAGCTGCAAAATCGGGTTGAATTCGTCCAGGCATGGATGAGGGAGCGTCCTCCATCCTGGCGGCCTCGAGGTCCGGGGAGGAGGCGGCCGCCTGATGGCCTCCCCCCCGCTGCTGCATCATCACTTGCCTCCGCCGCCGTCCCCTGCCTTGGGGCCCTTGCGGCGGAGTTCACGTTCTTCTGTGGCTTTCCGAATGTTCTTCATGATGGCGGCGTCCTTCTCGACCTGCGCCTTGACGTGCTCCAGCAACTGCGGGGCCACCATGAGGAGGTCGCCCGCCTTGCTGAAGCCGCTGAGAGCCGAGAACTCCTCAGGGCTCATCTTGTCCTTCGAGCTCGCGGAGTCCGCCTCTCGGAGCCGATCGTGATAAGCCCACTCGATGGTCTGCGCACGGCGGAGGATCGCCTCCGCGAAGGCGCAGTTGCTGAGGTCGAGCTGGTCGTAGCTGCCGGCCAGCTCGAAGTACTTCATGAGCTGCTCATGCTCCTGGACACCCCATTGCTCCATCTGGAGGCGGGCCGTCGTCTTGAACATCAGGTGGTGGTCCGTCGGGGTGCGGCGCCCCCGAAGGAAGTCGAGGCGCCGCGAAGTCGACCTTGGGCCCGCCACCGGGAAGTCGCCGAAAAGGCTCCTCCTCTCACGAGTCCACCACGTCGCGCCACTCGCGCCCCCGACCGCGCGGCCCCGTCCTCACAGGGAGGGCGCGGGCGTCGCCCGTCGCGGCCGCGCCGCCGCCGGGGGCGTCGCCGACGGAGGCAGCGGGCCTGAGGGAGGCCGCGAAGGCGTCCTTGTCCAGGGCGGTGAGGTGCACCACGATGGCCCGCCCAGGCGCCACCTCGAACAGCCCGCGATCGTGCAAGGCCAGACTCGGAGTTCCGACCCAATCGCCGACCTCGATCGGCCGCGAGCTGTCGGGCTCCGCGGCACGCCAGAAGTGCCCAGGCGGAGGAGGGGTCACGGTGCCGCCCACGGAGTTGGGCACCGCGGGAACGGCAAGGGCGTCGCCGCCGTCCTCCACCTGGTCGCCAGGCGCGCCCGCCCCGGCCGCCAGCGCGTCCCCAGCGGCAGGCACTCCCTGCTTGCCAGTCACGCGCCGCCCGCCGAAGAAGTTGCGGCCGAGCTCGTCCTCCACCGACACGTCGCGACCCTGCTGGGAGCGGATCACCTGGGGCACCGCCAGCTGCAGCCCGCGACTCCGAGCGTCGGCCGTCGAGGCCGCGTACGCCCGGCGATACAGGGCCCGCAGCTCGCCGGGCTGGTCCTCCCCGAAGCGGTAGGACCGGCCTAGTCCTGGCGGCAGCCGCAGGTCTCGCGCCACGAGCTGCCACTCCACGGGGCTGTCGTCCGGCGAGCCGCCCTCCAGCTCCTCGATGTACACGTCCCCGTCCGGGGTCAGGACGACCCAGCACGCCCCGCCCTCAACGTCCGAGGCGGCCGGGTACAGAAGGATCCGCTCGTGCCAGAGGTCGTCCTCGGCGTAGCGGACCATCACCCGGCATCCCGGGATCAGCCTCGCCGAAGGACCCGCCGACGAGCGGGGACCGCGCAGCTCCACCAGCGCCATCGCTCTCGGAGCCCGCCAACCAGGCCCGCGTCAGGAGGCTGCCGAGCACGAGCCCCAGCACCAGCGCCGCCACGCAGAGCCAGCTGGCGTCGTGGCAGAACGTGCCCCGCTCCGCCACCTCACGCACCGCGGCCGCCAGCGCGTCGCACGGCGGCACGGCCTCGGGGGGACCCACCCAGGCGGGCTCGCCCCCTCCGCCGCCCGGCGCCCCGGGCCCGTCAGGCGCCTTGCCACAGGCGCAGTGGCACCCCGGGCAGCAGGCGGGGCACGGCGGCGCGGCCGGGCAGAGCGGGCACGGCGGCACCGATGGGCAGCTCGGGAGAAGGGCCCACGACGCTCCAGCGTGCAGGCCCGCGCGGGCCAGCTCTCGGGCGCCCGCGACCCCCGCGTCGACTAGGGGGCGGAGGGCGTCCTTCATCACCTGGAAAAAAGACTTGAGCAAAGGTGGCCATCGGACACGATGGACGGCAACGGGACCGACGGCGAGGATTCAAATACGTGTGGAACACTGCAGAACTATATATGATACCGGAGAAAAACCCCAATCAGCTTTTTGTTAGGGCTATAGGGCTATAGGGCTATAGGGCTATACGGCTATCGGGCTATAGGGCTATAGGGCTATCGGGCTATAGGGCTATAGGACTGTGACCTGTAGGGCCATAGGGCTATCGGGCTATGGGGCTATAGAGCTATATGGGCTATGGGGCTATAGGGATATAAGGCTATTAAGGCTATAGGGATATAAGGCTATAGGGCTACAAGGCTATAGGGCTATAGGGCTATAGGGCTACTGGGGGCTACTGGGCTATTGGGCACCCCCGGACACCCGGGCACCCCCGGGCACCCGGGCACCCCCGGGCACCCGGGCACCGGGGCACCCGGGCCCGGCCACCGAAATCGGCCACCCGGGCACCCCCGGGCACCCGGGCACCGGGCCCCGGCCACCGAAATCGGCTGCCGACCTCACCTCAGCTTTATATCCGCTAGGACCCCTACAGAAGCAAGCTCTGATTGGGGAATGTACATACATGTGTTGTGCAATATTGGTTGAGTATTCTATGTGAAGCAATATTTGTGGTGCAATCGATGTGGTGCAATCGGTACGGTGAATATATGCGTGGTGCAATCGACGTGGTGCAATCTGCGTGGTGCAACCTATGATGTGCAATCATTGTGGTACAGCCGATGTGGTGCAACCGACGTAGTTCAATCTATGCGATGCAATCTAAGTGGTGCAATCTATGTTGTGCAATCAATGTGGTGCAATCTATGTTGTACAATCTAATCTAGGCGGCGACGGGGTGGCGATGGGGTGGCGACGAGGCGGCGACGACGAGCACGGAGCCGCCAGACCGCCAGCCGGGCCCAGACGACGGGCGGCGACGGGGCGGAGACGGGGCGGCGACGGCGAGCACGGAGCCGTCAGACCGAAAGCCAGGCCCAGACGACGGGCGGCGACGGGGCGGCGACGGCGAGCACGAAGCCGCCCCGTTTGGAGAGCTATTGGGTCCTCTTGGGGGCCTCTTGGGAGCCTCTGTGGGCCTCGTGGGGCCGTCTTGAGGGCCATCTCGAAGCCTTTGCAGCCCATCTGAATCGAAAAGTCAAGAGGACACAAAACATGTAGATATTTATTTTGGTGTTTGAATGTTATTTTGTTTGCCGGGGAGGACGCCGACAATCGATGAGCAGCACACCACAAGTCTCAGTCGGTCTAACTACTGGCGGGACACGCACAAGCCGAAGTGAAGCATGCGGGACAAGCTGATTGCACAGGCTGGTTCCTGCGTCCGTCGCGCGGATGCCGCATTGAAATCGCGGCTATCCATGTTCCAAACGACCATGTCTAATCAAACAACGCGCAATACCTTCATGGAGCTGGAACACAGAACCATACGTGCCACAAAGTCGGAATTTACCAGATTCTCCTGACATGCCACGGAGGAGGAACCAGGGAGGAGAGAAGGAAGAAGACAGGAGACACCTAGGGTGTGTGAATATTTGATCGAATATTTCCAAACTTCGCGGAATATTTCTGGATGGCCCCTCCAAGGAGCACCGCACATCCACTCCGAAAAATAGGTCTGGAACTGATCCGATACGTCAAACGAGGCTCTAGAACGGAAGCCAGGACATTACTCCTCCAGCGGCCACAGAGGCAGTCCCCAAACGGCGCATCTGCCCGGAGTTGACCTCGTTGTTGGAGTTTGTCGCGCTCGTTGTTGTTGCTTCAGATTGTTTGGCTAGAGCGGATGACATGGTCATGTCACCACAGAATAGCAGATCATCAGGTGGTGCTGGGATAGTGTCAGCAGGCGTGTAGAAGACTGCGTTCTGGCCCATCAAAATGTGCCAAATCATATGACAATGGAAATACCACGCCCCAGGAGAATACACCTTGAACCGGATCATTGTCCATCCGCATGGGCCGAAATCGTCGGAGTTCTTGCCAAACGGCTCGTTATTGACGCCCTCGCTCACAACCTGCGTCACATCTCGGAACGCCGGGTCAACCTTGTTCAGCGAGGCAAGCTGCTCCGCCGACCCTGTCCATTCTCCACGGCCAGTGCCCAAGACCCAGAAGTGCATGCCGTGCGCGTGGAAAGCGTGGGTCTCGCAGTGGCCGTTGCAAGCGGGGTAATTCTGGATCACAACGTCGTACACTTGGCCGACATCCACCGCGAAGTAGTTGTGTTCTTCAGTGATCTGGTCTCTGTTGATGTCGAAGTACAGAGATGCGAGTGTCGGCGTGTTGCTGCCCATCCACGACCTCCTCCCCAAGAGCCACCGCAGGTTCTTGGTGTTTCCTGCAGAGTCGCAATTGTCTTGGGGCCTGTCCCCAGGGCCACCAATGGCCACTGTGAGGTCGTTCACCGAGGGCACGCCGTTGTACGTCGCTGTGTGGTCCATGCGCTCCTGCGTGCTGAGCATGTAGAATGTCCGCTGGACAAGGCTGTCGTCTGGAACCGCGGCGATCGCGGTGTCCCCCGTGTAGAGTCCTTTGATTGCCTGCTGGAAATCGAAGGTGAAGTTGTTGTCGTCCCACGCGGGTGTTGACACATTGGCAGTCTCTGGTTGCACGCTCTGGGATGCGGCACCCGCGTACTCGATGATGGCGTAACCTGTTCGCTGTGACGATCTTCCCCGGGTGATGACCTTGACAGTGTACGCTCCTGGTGGCTGGTCCATGGTCACCAAGACGCTGACTCGCTGGCCCGAATTGAGGTCAATGGTGTCCGTGGTGTGCTTCTGCGTGGCCATTCCGTCTACCTCGATCACTGTCATGTTGTGGTTCTCAATGGCAACGCTGAACAACGACAGGCTGCCTCCGTTGATAAAGCGAAGCAAGTACGTCTTCCCCGCCGTAACCTGCGTCGTAAAGTACCCTGGGCAAAGACTGGAATCGCATGAGGGTGGATGGTACGAAGGCCTGTACCAAGGACTCTGTGCCGCACCGCACACCTCGCGCTCTCCCTCCATGCAGGTCCCGCCGTCACACGAGTAGAGGGCATTGTCGCTGCAATCAAAGTGTCCCTGCCCGTTCACCAAGACAGACTGCGGGTCTCCAACCCACCTGAACTGTGGCTCGAGAACTCCCTGGACGAGCTGCGTCTCCTCCGCGTGCCACCAATCCTTCAAGTGCATGAGAACCTCGCCGCCATCGGCTTCGCTGGCGAATGCGCTGACGTCACCCTTGATGATAAAGGCTCCTCCGAGTCCAGCAACCCGCATGCCACCAATGTGGCCGTGGTACTGGTACAAGCCGGGGTGCTCGTTGACCTTGAACTTGTACACCCACTTGCTCCCAGGCGGGATTGGACACTGGGTGATCATGGAGCCGCCGTCGTGCCAGGGACCGCTGTCCGCGTGGACCATGCCATGCCAGTGGATTGACACAGCGTTTGACAACATCAGATTCACAATTGTAATCTCCACCTCCTCGCCCGGGTCTACCTCAATGGCAGGGCCTGGGATCGAATGGTTCGCGTTAACGACGAGGCGGTCCACGCAGTCAGGAGACGCAAACTCGTGGCGGATTTCCAGCGTAGTCACATAGACGGCCCTTGTCGGAGGTAGCAGTGTGGCAAAGAAGTACAGCCACGTATAGGCCATCTGCATGCTGGACAACGCCCGAAATCCTAGAGAGCGCTTCGTCCTCGAGCTAAACTGGCTACGGAGACTCCGGCAAGTTTGCTTGCGAGGAGGGGGGAGGGGGGGGGGGGGGCGAGGCCCGAAAGGAGATCTGGACTTCACACAAGTCGGGGCTACCTTCAACACCTTCTCGGCCCAGCGCTATTGGAAAAGACGGCGGGAGGGGAGGGGGCAGAATGACGAACGAACAACACACACACACACCCATACCCATGAGGGGAACGAAGGGGACTATGGGTGCGCGTTGACCGATGGGGGTCCCCGCTCGAAAGGAAGCCTCCCCCACAGTCCGATAACCCACACCCATGCCCATAGCCAGTCCTCCTCTCTCGGATCCCCTTATGGGTATGGGTGTGTGTCGTTCGTTTGTCACAGACTTCCATGGCAAGCAAGCTTGCCAAAGTCGAAAAAAAACGATTGGTGGGGCAAACGGCGCCGTCAACGCTCCGACGCCTCCTGACGCTCCCGACGCCCCCGACGCCCCCGACGCTCCCAGCTACTGCGCCCCCCGCGCCTCCGACGCTCCTGACGCTTCCAGCGCTCCGGGCTTCCGGAGCCTCAGGAACTTCCGAAGCCTCGGAGGGGTGATGGCTGACGCTCCCGACGCTCCTGACGCTCCGGAGCTTCAGGAGCTCCAGAAGATTCGGAGGGTTGGTGGCGCCCGGTGCCCCCTCGATGTGCAAAACGGCCTCCTCCACGTACGTGCAGGGGCGACCTCGCACAGGAATGGCCTCCGGTGCCAGGCTTCGGCGCACATAGCCGTGTTTGCGCCCTCGTGGTCTGCGTTCTGGGGGCGCGGTCCCGCGGATGCGCGGTCGCACCGAAACGTTCCGCGCGGGGCATCCGCGAGAAGACGTCCCGCGTCCGCGGGGTCGCGGCCCAGGGGCCCGGCCCACGAGGCCGCGGATACAGATATGCTTTTCGCCCATGACGAAGGTCACTCTGACAAAGGGTCACTCTTGCGCGAAGGCGACTCCTTCGGCTCCTTGTCAAAGCCAGGCTATGCTTCAACACTTACTTCTCGACTCCACGATCTGGCATGGTTGCGCCTCTTTGACCTGGAAGCGCGCAGGGTGGAGCCTTTCCAAGAGTGCGGTCACGCCGGAATGGCAGGCGGAGATCTCTCATCCTGAGAGGGGGGCGCAGGAAGGGGAGGCAGACCCAGACATCTCGAGTCTTGAAAAGACCGGGACGGAGACGTGTCTCCGTTGTCGGCCTCTCGGGGCCTCGCCAGGCCCTGGGGGCTGTCCCAAAGACCCTCGGGACGACAATCGGGCCCTGGATATCCGGACGTCTGGGGGCCCCGCACGGGAACATCGAAATGCCGGATGTCGGGGGAGGCGGCCGGCCTTCTCAGAAGGCGACGGGTCTTCTCACGAGAAACCACAAGGCAGCGATACCGCTACTCCCTGGACCTCTCCCGGGGTGCGCGTTCTACCCAGAACTTCGAAGCGAATCCAGCGGTGACGAGGGCCTCCCAGGAGATCCCCCCAAAGAAGGGGAAAACGAGGCGAGGGTAGCGGTGTGGGTGCCTTTTCCTCCTCCCACTTCGTGGCCTGCTCCGAAGACACGGGCAGCTTCTCAGAGGGCGTGGGGGCTTCTGAGAGGCCCCGCCGCCCTCTGAGAAGGCCAACCCCCTCTGCCTCCTCTCCCCCGTTGTGCGCGCCACCGACTCCCGCCTGCCTTCATCGCCCTCATCCTCACCGCACAAACGTTCAAAAGTTCTCAGCGAAGGCGAGGCTCACGGGTATTCATGGCATGCAGTGCCGTTCTCGGCAGGGGTGCCAGCATCCTTGTTAGCATGTGCCTGCAGGGAGAACGCCTGCAGGGTCTGTGCACTGTTGCATGGATTGTCGCATCTACCGATGCACCACACATTCGAGATTTCCCTCACATATCACACCATGTGTGGCTCTTTACGGGTCGTACTTCCGGCTACGGTATAGAGCCGTCGTGCTACCACAAGGAGAGCTCAATAGCCAACGAAGGGGCGTTTCTGGCCACGGCGAGCCTCGGCCACGAACAGGTTCCCCGACCTAGATCGAAGGAACGGCCCGAAAACCAGAGCAGCTCAGGCGTCCAAAGTGGACTTTATCTCCACACGTTTTGACTGTACGAATGTTGACTGCATGCATGCTGTCCTGGACGGGATGGGCTATCGGGCCCCTATCGGCGTCCACTGGGCCATTGGGGGTGGATGCATCCCTACTCCGAGCCTATCACCTCCTAGCAATGACCCTGATTTTCCACCCCCCCCTCTTCCTGATAAACTTCTCCCCCCCTGTCGCAGCAAGCCGAGCCTGGCGCTTCGCTCCAGACTTCCTTGCGCGCTTCTGTCCTGAAGCTGAGCAGCTCCAGCAGCTACACACATGGACGGCCAGCTGTTTTCCAAGCGCGGCTCCCGCCTTAGCGCCGGGCAGTGCCCTTTCTGAAATTCCAAAACGGACGCGGATGTGGGGCTCATGATATCAACATTCTCCTCTCTCTCTCTCCGTCTTCTCGTCATCGCTCGGACGTCCACTCCCCGTGCATGTTTCGATTTCGTGCGTGTATCTTTTCGCAGGATGCTCCGAGATGCCCTTCGATGGCCCTCGCAAAAGAGAATGCACACGCCCGAGCGATGCGAAGTCTTGTAGCGCCGCGCACCTTGGCTTCCCAAACTTCCGCCGCCCGCACGGACGGAGGCCAGGTTGTTGTCAAAAATACTGCTCTCGCTTGAGACTCGACGAGCAAAGCCCAGAATCGAATCGATCCGTCGGATCGGCGATCGAAATGAATCGGATCGGTGGAAGTCGGCAGCCGAGCCGGGAGGAGTTGAATCGGCGGAAATAGGCACGCTCATGGGCCTCCATTTGGGGATCGGAGGCAAGATCGGAACCCGAAGTCGAATCGAGTCGGCATCGGACGCCATCGAACTCGAGCCGAACCGAATCGGAGGAATCGAAACTAGCCCTGTACGGATACCTTTCCCCGACCCCGACGTCATGATTGTGACCCCCACAAGTCCCGACCCCCTTTCCCCAGGACCAACTTTCCATTCCGAATGTTTCTTGACGGTCCCGCGGGCCGGCGAGGGCCCCCGGAGGCAGGAAGTACCGAAAACACTCTCCGTCGTGAGTTTTCGGTAACTCGAGGGCGCCTGGGTTTTCCTCTTCTGAGTCTTCAAAATATCGAAATCCGCACTCGCTTCCTCAAACTCGACGGCCCGAGATCCTGTACTGCACGACAACTTTTGCACGGATGAGGGGCGGCACCTTTCCTGAGATGCGGGGCTCTCCCGCCCTCTCGGCGCGGCGTGCTCTCGCCCGTGAGACGCCATCAATCACACTGATAGGGGGCCAGCGGTCTCGAATAGCGGCTCCCGCCCTACCGCCGCGCACATTTGTACGAGAGTCTCCTGCAAAAGAAAGGCTAGAGGCTGGCTGATTTTCTCCATGCTGCTCCGTGAGCAGCATCTCTATATATATATATATACAAATATATAGATAGATAGATATATAGATAGAAAACGAGCCAGCCTCGATACGATCACCATACAGAAATCCAGTAAACGAGTCTCAAGCAGGAGCCGTGTTCCCGCTTGGGACTCTCTCAGGTTCGATAGCCCAGAATTCCAAGCTGTACAGAAAGTACATGGATGGAGAGCGTTGTTTTCAGCTCAGGATGGGGCTCTCGCTTGATACTTCCGCCGCTTTGGAGACCCATGCTCTAAACTTGTGCCAGACTTACACAGATGGAGGGCGGCTTTTCGTCAACATCCAACCAGTCCTTTAGAACGTGAGTGGTTTAGAGCGCTTCCTCTTCCAACCCCCGACTTCCCCTACAGGAAATGCTTATCACTGTCCCCTCTCCCTCCCCAAGGCGACCGGCAGCCAACCAGGACGAACGAGAACCCCCCCCGCACCCACCATCGCTATCAACAAAACGATGTGAAGCCCACGTTGGAGCAAAATCTTGGGTCCTGATCGGGCAGGGCGCGAGCAAATTGTAGTGCCTTTTGAAAGGGACGGGGGGGGTCAGCATATTACGTACTGTGCGCAGGGCCAGTCTCCCTGTCAGAGAAACCATACAAACATGCACTTCGAGGCATAGCCTGGATCATGCGCGGGCACCCCGCGATCACTGTGCATTGGATTTCGACTGGGACGGCAGGAGTGCTGGCATTTTGCTTGCTGTGCGCAGGCCGTCACTATGATGACCACCCCGCCGCGATTGCGTACTCATATCCGACAAGGGTGGTGGGGGACGATACGTTTCCCGATGTGTACTGCCACGTGCGCAGGCGCACCTGGCAAACTCTGTGCGTGCCCCGAACGTGGCACACCTGGCGCGACTGGAGCATGAGGCACACATGGCGCACGTGGATCACGTGGCGCATCTGGCGCACCAGGCGTGCCTGTCACGCTTGGGCCACAGGAGTGCCTGGCGCGCCTGGCGCGCGTGGCGCGCCTGGCACACGTGGCTCACCTCGCCCCAGCGGATCTGATTTGGTTCCGATTAGCTGACCATCCGAAGACGAACGCTGAACATGCTGCGGCTCGTGTGGTACTGATGTGTTGGGAGAACGAACGGGTGGGAGTGAGCGCGACGGCTTGCTGGCGGGGAGGGTGTCTTGATCCCTCCCCCTACCCCCTTCCCCTGGACCAGGGGGTGGGGAGGGGGCGCGACTCATTGGAGCATCTAAAACGGCCTCGGTGAGAACGCAAAAGTCAGTGATTCGACTGAGGGATTAGGTCATATTTGGGTCTCCTGGGGAGAGACTCTAATTGACCGCCACTCCTTATTCGATCGATCTCCTGGCCTCCGAGGCTCCCAGGAGGCGCCCAGGAGGCGAGAGGAACCCAAGAGGTCCCCAAGAGGCTCCCAAGAGATCCCCACGAGGTCCCAGGAGGCCTGCCCGAGGCACCCAAGACGCTCCAAGAGGCCCCCGCGACTGCTAAGAGGCCCCTAAGACGCACTTAGAGGCCTTCAACGAAGCTATCAAGAGACAGCCGAAGAGACTCCGAGATCCATCCAATAGGCGTCTGGCCTCTCTGCTCGCCCTCCTCCTCTTCCTCACCCGCTCGTCCCTCCCCCCGCTTCCCTCCTCCCTCCCCTCCCCTCCCCTCCCACTCCGTCTCCTCCCCCTCCGAGTCTTCTCCATCCTCCCTGTCTTGTGATGTGACGGCTTCCCCAGCCATTCATGCCACTGCATGCTCCTCCTCATCCCTAACAAGGCAACTCGCCTGGCATCGTTTCTGGATGGGCTGGTGAGGTTCACCTGGGCATGACCTTCGATTACGACCTGGGCATGGCCTTCGACTTTACGACCCTATATGCTTGCGCTTCTTAGCAAGCAAGATGGAGGCGGACCCAATGCAAAGCAGTGTCTCGCCAGAGTGGCAAACCCAAAAGGAACATGTACGGATTCATGCAGAGGGGGCGTGGGACGGAAGGCTGTATCACATCATCGCTGACGCATCCTGGACTTACTGTGGCATTCAGCCTCCTCCTCCGCCTCCTTCCCGTTTCCTAACCTATGACTCTCTCCTGTCGTACCCCAGACGTGTCGGCAAGGCTGGTCGGGCTTTTCGCCCGAGAGGTCCTCACTATTCATGGCCATGAAGCTTGACACTTACAACGGCTTCACGGATGGAAGGCAGGTACTATTCGAAATACGGCTCTCGCCTTCGCGCCGCGCACAATCCTCTAGAATATGTGCAACAGCTTCAAATATCAAGGGCGCGTCGTTTTCAAACTGTGGCCGTCGCCTTAGCGTAGCGCACCTTCGTCCTAAATGTGCGCAACAAGTTCAGAGATGAAGGGCGGGTCCTTTGAACATGTGGCTCTTGCACTGTCGCCGCGCACGTTCGTCTTAAATGTGTGCACCAGCTTCAAAGATGAAGGGCGGGTCGATTTCAAAATGTGGCTCTCGCCTTAGCGCAGCGCGCATTCGTCTTAATTGTGTGCAGCAAGTTCAACGATGGAGAGCGGGGCCTTTCAACATGTGGCTCTCGAATTGCCGCTGCGCACACGAATTTCAAATGTTGACAACAGGTTCAAGGATGGAGGGCGGATCGGTTTCAATATGTGGTTCTTGCCTTAGCGCAGCGCGCATTCGTCTGTACAGTTTGTTGCCACACATTTAAGGACGGATGGAGGGCGCGACGTGTCAAAATGTAGCTCTCGCCCTCACGTAGCGCACATTCGTCTCGAAATGTGTGTAGCAGGTTCGAAAACAGAGGGTGGTTTCTTTTCAAAATGTGGCACTCGCCGTAGCGCCTCGCACATTCGTTTGAGTCCCAGGCATGGGGGTTTGGCCCAATCAAAGATTGCCAGGACGCACGCGTATCGTTGATTCGCGGCGGTGCACTCAAAAGAAGTTGTGATGGCACGATTGAGGCGTCTCAGACGGTTGTCTTCCCACAGAGCACTCCCCAGAATGGCGACTAAGTTCTTGCAGGAGCCATGAAGAGGAAGCTTGGAAGAAGAGTGAATTGCAACACCGTTCATGCGTCTTGGGTTCGCAATGGTCCTCCTCCTCCTCCTCCTCCTACATCTCCTCCTCCTCCCTCTCCTCCTCCTCCTCCTCCTTCTCCTCCTGCTCGTGCTCCTCCTCCTCCTCGTCCCTGCCTCCTCCTCCTTCTCCTCCTCCCTCTCCTCCCCCTCCTCCTCCTCCTCCCTCTCCTCCTCCTCCCTCTCTCTCCTCCCTGCCTCCTCCTCCTTCCTCTCCTCCTCCTCCTCCTCCTGCTTGTCCTCCTCCTCCTCCTCGTCCCTGCTCCTCCCCCCCGCACGAGGCCCCAGCAGGCCGTCCTGCAGACCCCGCGGCAGCCCACCCCGCCCCCTCCTGAGCTGGTGCCCAGCTGCGGGCACGGGCTGCTGCCCAGGCCTTCGGGGGGGGCGCGGGTGGGGCTGCGCGGCGCCGCGCCCGGGGCCGGGTCGCCCTCGTCGTCGTCGTCGTCGTCGTCGGCCCCCCTCCCTCCCTCGCCCCCCCCCCTCTCTCCTCGGCTTCCTCCTCGGGTCTCCTCCTCGTCTCCCTCCTCTTCGGTCTCCGCCCTCCTCCCTCCTCCCTCCGCCTTCTTCCATCCCCCCTCCCCTGCCTCCTTTGCCCCTTTCCCCTCCTCCGAGGGTTCCTCCTCGTTCCCCCTCCCCCCTCCGTCCCCACTCCGTGCGAATGGCCCCCTCCGCCCATCTTCCGTACAAGAAGCTCACGCCTGCCGCACCACGCGGCACATCGTCATGGCCTTCCAGGCGTTTCGTCCCCTCTCCGCTCGAGACCTCGAAGCTCATCATGCCAGATAACGCCCACGGGTGGAGGATCGAGGAGGGGTCGTGTTCAAAATGGGAGTTCGCCTCGACGCCGCGCGCACTCGTCTTTCAACATTCCAACAAGTCACACGGGACGATAGCGGGGTTGTTCAACAATGGGGGTCTCTCCTTGACGCCGCGCACGCTCGTCTTCGAAACATCCAGCAAACGCGCGGATGGGGGGGCCATTCTTTCCCAACGGATGGACTCTGACTTGAGACTTCCTCCGAATGCTTCACCGCTGTACAAAATTGTTACGACCCCTTACACGGATGAACAATGTTGGGTCGTTGCAAACAGAGCTCTCCGCTGAGTCTTACAGCATATAGGTTCCAGGCGCTCGAACTGATGCAGCAGTTGCACGAACGGAGAGCGGTGCGTATTCAAAAAAGGGTCTCGATGAAGATGTCATCAGTGTGCACTTCCAGGCGCTCAAGCTTGTGCAATAGCTACAGCTACAGAAATGCAGGGCGATGCCTTCTTCAAAAATAGGGATCTCACTTGGTTGCCAGAAGTTTTGTGCATCTGACACACGGATCGAAGGCGGTTCTCTTTTCGAGGCGGAGCTGCCGCTGGAATATATAGCCCCACCTCTTCACAACCCGTGCGACTGCAACAGCAGAAGACATCCCCTCCTCAAAACGGGGTTCCCGCCGGAATTGCGGTCCGTTGGGACGCCCAACTTTCAGCGGAACGCCCGCAATGACCAACAATGCAACTAGGGACTTATCAAGAAGGGGCTCAGGACGAGAGGGTGTACTGCGACATCGTTGACACATCTTGGGTTCACTCTGGTCATCCCTCCCCTCCTCCTCCTACACCTTGTCATCATCATCATCATCATCATCATCATCATCATCATCATCATCATCATCATCATCATCATCATCATCATCATCATCATCATCATCATCATCACCACCACCATCATCATCCTCCTTATCCTCATCATCGTCATTCCACTTTCCCCTCTCCCAATCCTCCTCCTTCTCCTCCTCCTGTTCCTCCTGCTCCTGTTGTTCCTTCTCATCCTCCTCCCCCTCCTCGTGTTCCTCCTCCGTTCCTCCTCCGTTCCTCCTCCTCCTCCTCCTCCTCCTCCTCCTCCTCCTCCTCCTCCTCCTCCTCCCTCCAACCCTCCCCCCCTGCCCGCTCGATGGGTGGCTACCGGACATCGCCCCCCCCCCCCCACACACCCCGCACACCCCACCCCCTTTTGCTGCATATTCCCTCCCCCGTCCCCCCCCCCCGTCCAGAAGAAAGGATGCCGCCCTCGGGGAAGTCCAGGTTGAGATCCGTCCGCCCCCCCCGTAAAGTCACTCCCGACCTCCTTCCCCTGATCCTCCCGCGCCGCGCCCACTCACCAGACGAGCTCGCCGAGAACGGGCGGGCGGGACACCGGGGGCCCCCGTCGGCGGCCCCGTCGGCAGCGGCACCGATGAGTCGGCCACGCCTCGACGACGACCTCGAGGAGAACATGCGCGCCGACGAAGACCCAGGACAGTGTGCTCTCACGCAGGATGCGTGAAACCAGATAGGTGGAGCAAGCTGCGTCGTGCAACTGTTCTATATCAATGCACATGGATGGTGCCAAACATGTGGTGCAATCGACGCGGTACACAATATTTGTTGTGCCATCTATGTGGTGCAAGCGTTGTAGTGCACAGCACGTGGCGAAACTCACGAGAACTCACTTGTCGGTTGTGAGTTCCACTGCTCGCGCAATCATCCCACCAACCCACCCGCAACCAGGTCTGCAGAACCCATGCGGGGGCGACTCCGATGACTGCTTGGTGCTGGCTGGGGCGTCGCTGCGGCCGCGCGAAGGCGCGCGGGCTCGCGCGCACAGCGGCCAGCTGCGTCGGCACCACCGACGCGGCCGCGGTGGCGCTGACCGATGGGGACTCCCCACTGCGTCTCGGAGGCCGTGCCGACGCGTGGGCACTTCAGTGCGAGCCCGTGACACGGACGGGCAAAGTGCCGTGGCGACGTCGACAACGGCAGACACGCTGGTGATAGTCGCAATACTGGTGACGATGAAGACGACCAAGGCCACGACGACGACGCCGCCGACGACGACGACGACGAATGCGACGACGACGACGACGAATGCGACGACGACGACGACGACGACGACGGCCAGGCCGATGACGGCGCAGATGCGAAACACGCCGACGACACTGATGGTGTCCACGCGTCGGTGACCAAGGTTTTGGAAGTTTTCGACATGCGTGCGCGGCTAACGGGCGCGAGTGGCCCGCATGGTATTATTTGACAAGGACCGCGCCCCCCCCCCCCCAGCAAGCGCGCACGGGCAATCCAAAGATTTCGACAAGCGCGCGCGGCAAGCCCACGTGGCCGCTTTGGGAGAAAATCCTGAAAGCAGCAACTGGCCCCCTTAAGACTTCGTAAAACACCGCGAGTGCCCACTTGTTTAAACAAGTACCTTGTAGAAACAGGGGTTCCCCATGTCTTCGGGGAACCCGATGTTTTTCCCAACCATCCTGCGGTGTTGGGTCCTCGCTTTGAAGAGACAGCGCTCCGCGTCACCTCACCTCCCGAAGCCCCGTCCCCGTCCTCCCACCCCTGCCCCTCTCACACGCAACCCCTCACACGGTTCGTGGCCCCACAGGGAGCTCCACTGGAGGCCCCAGTGGCAGGGTCCGCATGCGTCAACGCTACCTATTTGGGCACACCCCTCACACGGTTCGTGGCCCCACAGGGAGCTCCACCGAAGGCCCCAATGGCAGGGTCCGCATGGGGGGACCGCCGCCCATTTTGACACACCCCTCACACGGTTCGTGGCCCCACAGGGAGCTCCACCGAAGGCCCCAATGGCAGGGTCCGCATGCGGAGACCACCACCCATTTTGGTATCCCCCTCACACGGTTCGTGGCCCCACAGGGAGCTCCACCGAAGGCCCCAGTGGCAGGGTCCGCATGCGGGGACCGCCACCCATTTTAGCACCCCCCTCACACGGATCGTGGCCCCACAAGGAGCTCCACCGAAGACCCCAGTGGCAGGGCCCGCATGCGGGGACCGCCACCAATCTAGACACACCGCTCACACGGTTCGTGGCCCCAAAGACAGCTCCACCGAAGGCCCCAGCGGCACGGTCCGCATGCGGGGACCACCACCCATTTTGGCACACTACTCACACGGTTCGTAGCCCCACAGGGAGCTCCACCGAAGGCCCCAGTGGCAGGGTCCGCATGCGTACACGCCACGAATTCTGGCGCACCCCTCACACGGTCCGTGGCCCCACAGGGAGCTCCACCGAAGACCCCAGTGGCAGTGCCCGCATGCGGGGACCGCCACCCATTTTAGCACCCCCCTCACACGGATCGTGGCCCCACAAGGAGCTCCACCGAAGACCCCAGTGGCAGGGCCCGCATGCGGGGACCGCCACCAATCTAGACACACCGCTCACACGGTTCGTGGCCCCAAAGACAGCTCCACCGAAGGCCCCAGCGGCACGGTCCGCATGCGGGGACCACCACCCATTTTGGTATACCCCTCACACGGTTCGTGGCCCCACAGGGAGCTGCACCGAAGGCCCCAGTGGCAGGGTCCGCATGCGATGACCGCAACCCATTGACGCACACCCTTCACACGGATCGTGGCCCCACAGGGAGCTCCACCGAAGGCCCCAGTGGCAGGGTCCACATGCGTCAACGCCACCTATTTCGGCGCACCCCTCACACGGTTCGTGGCCACACAGGCTGCTCCACCGAAGGCCCCAGTGGCAGGGTCCGCATGCGGGGACTGCCACCCATTTTAGCACCCCCCTCACACGGTTCGTGGCCCCAAAGACAGCTCCACCGAAAGCCCCAGTGGCAGGGTCCGAATGCGGGGACCGCCACCCATTTTGGTATCCCCCTCACACGGTTCGTGGCCCCACAAGGAGCTGCACCGAAGGCCCCAGAGGCAGGGTCCACATGCGTCAACGCCACCTATTTCGGCGCACCCCTCACACGGTTCGTGGCCCCACAGGCTGCTCCACCGAAGGCCCCAGTGGCACAAGCCGCATGCGCCCGACGCCGATTTTGGCATACCCCTCACACGGTTCGTGGCTCCATATGAAACTCCACCGAAACGGGTACCCACAACGCGGTATTTTTCAATTGCGCATGGTTGGGTCTTTGGCCAGGATAATTGAAAACTTCTGGCATGCGTGCGCGACGACGAGCGGGCGTCGACTTTGTCACTTTTGCTTGCAATGGGTGCATGACAGCTGATGGCTTTTAATAAAAGTGCGTGCGCGAATCATATCGCTTGACAGGGATGACGGGGGTACCAATCAGGCCCCCCCTCCGATTGCATGGCATGAGTTCATATCTGAAAGGAACGACGGGACATATCGTTGGCAGATCAAAATGTCCCATGGGGGCGAGTACGATGATGATGATGATGATGATGATGATGATGATGATGATGATGATGATGAAGAAGGAGCAGATGGCAATGACAACGGGAAGACCACTGACGGCGCCGACGCTGACCACGCCGACGACGACGATGGCGCCGACGCGCCGGACGAAAGTCGGGGAGACGTAAGACTCGGATACGGGGGACTCGGGTTGGCCCGACGGGGCCATCATAAAAATGACGAGGCCCAATCTGAAATTTGACGCGAGCTCCCGCTGCAGACATCCCACGAAAACTGGACCGTCAAAATCCAGGACGCGCTCGTCAAAAAAACGTCGGCAAACCCGAGTTCCGGCTTACTCGGGTCTTGCGTTTCCCCGAGAAAGCGTTGGCCAGACTCTGCCGCGCGCTCGCAGCCGAAGCGCGCGAGTGGCCGGCGCGGCACCACTCGATCGGGATGGCGACCCCCGGCAAGCACGGGCACGTGCTCGAAGGAGCTCGCCGCGCTCGCACGGGGCCCGCTCGATCGCATGCGGTGGAAATGCGGGGTAGCCCTGGCCTTCGCCATACTTCGGAGCGCGCGGGCATTCTTTGCTTGAGGAATCCTTTTGTCATGCCACGTATTCTGTACAGTCGGGGCGCTGACCTAAGGAACCCCAAATAAGGAACGAGGCCCCTTTTCTCCAGAAGTTGAATTTCGATTTCCCATGGAAAACCTCAGGAAACAGGAGGCAAACTGTAGAACAATCAAGGAACACCGAACCCCTCCCCAACGAAAAGGGTTCCTTCTGCAGGGCCCCGGCTGTATGCGTCCCCGGGCAACTCGATCTCGAAACCAGCTCGAAGCCAACTAGTTCTGGAGTGATTTCGAACGGCGCGCGCGAGCGCGCGCGCGTGGACTTTCTCCGACAGGCCGTTGCCGCGGATTCTTGGCAACTGATGATTGTGGCTGTGCGAATGCGGGCGCGTGATGCGATTTAACAAAGGGAGGGGCCGGTGCCAGTTCCGCAGGGATGGCACGGCATCGTTGTTGAGCTGGACAATGAGGCATACTCATACGTAAATCGCAGTACCCCAGGGAGGGTCGCGAAGACTGGGGCGGTAGATCGGGGATGGACAGACCCCCCTTTAGCAAAACGTGGTTTAGTGAAAATGACCTGAGGCCCAAACCTGGCGGACGCAAGCCTGGAAAATAACGGCCACGGCGCCCTCTCGAGAACCGAAAACGGACAATTCACTAATCGACGTGTCACTGTTGGGGGTTCTGTCCACCCCCGAGTAGATCCAAATTGCCTTCAAAGAAAATCGATTTGGCGCAAACAGGTCTTGGAAGAGGCTGAACTCATCCACTCCACTGCTGGCGCAGTCCCCCAACCCCCGCGCGAACCTGCCCGAAACGTGGTGCGCGAAACCCACCCGGGGCTCTCCGGGAGCTCTCCTGAGACCCCCAAGCGTCCCCAAGAAAGCTCGCCAGGGCGGCCCTGGAGTGCTCGAAGGGGCACCAAGGGAGGTCCAACAGCGCCCCAAGAGATCCAACAACTGGAACCAAATTTGACACCACGCCATCCCTGACGAGGCTGCAGCTTGTCCTAGCTTTGTGTTCCAAAGGCACCGAAGGGAGCTCTACAGGACGGCCCGGGAGTGCTCGATTGGGCGCCGAAGGAGCTCCAAGAGCGGCCCAAGAGACCCAACAATCTAAAACGAGGAAGCGGCTTGTGCTAAAGTCGTGTGAAGTCTGGGGGTATCCTGGGCTCTCCTGAGACCCCGAAAGGCCCCTCAGAGAGCTAAACAGGACGGCCTGGGAGGGCTCGAAGGTCCTCCTCCTCCTCCTCCTCCTCCTCCTCCTCCTCCTCCTCCTCCTCCTCCTCCTCCTCCTCCTCCTCCTCCTCCTCCTCCTCCTCCTCCCCTCCTCCCTCCCTCCCTCCCTCCCTCCCTCCCTCCCTCCCTCCCTCCTCCTCCTCCTCCTCCTCCTCCTCCCTCACATTCAGTTTTCTGCATTGATTGTGTTGCTCATGCCCCTGGATCTTACCCAGGGAGATGCGTCCAGGAGCGGTGCAGGGGGCAGGGGAAAAACGCGAGTGCACAGGAGAGACTTCGGGAATTCCACAAGGGGGAACGAGCATCCGCAACCCAGGCACGGCAGGAGCATCAGTCTGGCCCCTCGGGAGGCCAAACCCGTACCCAAAGAGAGAAGAGATATAGAGAGAGAGAGACACAGAGAGAAAGAGAAAGCATAAAGAAAAAGAAAGGACGAAAGACAAGAGGATGCGTGGTCAAGAGAGAGGCCAAGATGCCTCTTAGAAGCTCCGACCGATGCCGTCGGCAGGAGGGTCCTGCAACGGAGAGGGGCCCTTCGCACCTCAGCCCCCGCCAGTGCCCCCCGACTCACCTTTCTCCAGGGCGTGGCACTGCTGAGTGCAGGTCATGTTGATGGCAGCGACCGCTGCTTGCAACGATAAGCTGCCCTCATAGAAGAGTTCGGCCCCCGTCTCGGACAACTTGGACACGAGTAGCGGCAGGCCGCCCTTGCACGAGAGTGTCCGGCCTTCCTCCCCCACCCGGCCCCCTCCTTGCCAGCATCCATCCCCCTGGCCACGGCTTCTGGGAGATACAGCAGCGTTCACACTCGAGAAGGGGGCAGGATGAAGGGAAAAGGAAAGAGCTATTGATATTGACCCTATCCGCCTCGAGGCCAAGGTTCAGCCTCAGAGCACGAATGGACCGTCCGCGCAGACGAACTACTTTACGCACAGAGATGGTGCGTCGCGCAATGCGACTGCAGCAAGATTAAATAATCGAAAAGCGCTGCAACTTAAGCAGGCAATGTGTATTGAGTCCTGAGGTTCTTCATCTCCTCCTCTTGATCCACTCATCGAATAGTCCCCCGACCTCTACAGAGGGGCCGCTCTTTCAAAACGGAGCCGAGTCCAAGGGACTAGGTATCTCCTTAGCTTGCGCAGCTCGGAAGACATCTCCATACTGAGCGTTCACACTCGAGAAGGGGGCAGGATGAAGGGAACAGTAAAGAGCTATTGATATTGACCCTATCCGCCTCGAGGCCAAGGTTCAGCCTCAGAGCACGGATGGACTGGCCGCGCAGACGAACTACTTTACGCACAGAGATGGTGCGTCGCGCAATGCGACTGCAGCAAGATTAAATAATCGAACAGCGCTGCAACTTAAGCAGGCAATGTGTATTGAGTCCTGAGGTTCTTCATCTCCTCCTCTTGATCCACTCATCGAATATTCCCCCGACCTCTACAGAAGGGCCGCTCTTTCAAAACGGAGCTAAGTCCCAGGGACTAAGTATCTCCTTAGCTTGCGCAGCTCGGAAGACATCTCCATGCTGGAACCATCAGGGCTGGTAAGCTGTTTGCCTAACCTAGCCCCACTGGTGAAACCGCCGCAAGAGGAGCAAAGGACGATGGGTGAATGTGAACCACCTCCGCTCCTTGTCCTCCTCCTCATGCTTCCTCCCTCGGCCATCATCATTCCCATCTCCGAGCAAGTGCTCCGAAGGAGCGCACCGCCAACTATTTGAATTCGATTTCCCCCTCAAGTATTTCCTACTCAACATCGCCTTCTGAATACATTTCCTGCGGGTAGTTGAGACATGGCCATCGGTAGTCCAAACCATACGTAATTTGGCCAGCGACAAGAACAACTAAGCTTAGGACCTTGAATAGCCCATGTTAGACCATGCTTCGCCGAGCGCAGCCTCTTCTATCGATGAATTGATACCATCCCATGTCAAACATCCACACAACGATCGCCTGTGAAGCCGAGATCTTTGCTTGCGTTACAGCTGTGAGGAATTGCATTACGTGCGTGCGACCAGCACTGTACGTTGCGAGCACGAATGTCATGCGCTTCGCGCGCGCTGAGGTTCTAGCATGCCCCAATTGTAATCTAACGTGTTCGGCATCTCAGGACATATATTGTCACACGGATCGTACCACTCAGGGGGCTTCGCCTGCGGCCCTAGAGACAAGCTTGGCTTGGCATCCCCCCGCCCACGTCGGCACACCCGTCACGGGGATCGTGTCCCTCGCAGAATGACACGCCCCTCAGGCGGATCGTGCCCCACAGGGAGGAAAGCGTCAAAACGTCGCCCAAGCTCACTTCGGCACACCTCTCACATGGATCGTGGCCCGCAAATAATTCCACGGACGGCTCCAGAGACAAGGTTCGCATCCCGCCCCCCCCGCCTACTTCGGCACACCACTCACACGGATCATGGCACGCAGGGATCTCCACCTAAGGTCTCAGAGGCACGGGTTCGCACTGCGCCCCCCCTGGCCATTGCGGCACAACCTCATCACGTGGATCGTTCCCACAACGAGCACCACCTAGAGGCCCAGAGACATGGTTCGTACAGCGCCCTCCCCCCCGCCCATGTCGGCACACCCGTCACGCGAGTCATGCCCCAGAATGAGCTCCACACATGTGGCACCAATGGGCAGCTTCGCATGGCGTCCCCCTGCTCATTTCGGAACATGCCTCACACGGGTCGTGCCCGGAGGAAGTCCACCTGCGCCCTCAGTGGGCGTGTTCGCGCAGGGGCATCTGAAATGTTTAGCACACCCTTCACGCGGATCGCGCCTCAGAAGAACTTCGGCAGACCAATACATGCTTGCTCTGGCGGGAGGGGGAGGAGGCCCCCACTCTCCCCCTCCACCCCGCCGCTGCGTGCGCATTGCCACGCGGCGCGCAGTGCCTGAAGAAAGACCCGCGATCTGCTTGACATATGACTGCGCAAGGATGGGTCCGTCGCCAAACACATTGCTTACTTCTGGGACGCAACAAATTGTGCCTCATGGGGCTCTCTTGGGGCACATCTGGGACCCTCCTTAGGACTTCGTCAGGGCCTCTGGAACCGTGATATTCGGGCGCTTTCAACCCCGTTAGGCCACTCTGACCACTTTTGGGCAGCCTCTGGGGCTGTTTGAGCGACCGGGGGGGAGGACCAGGAGGCTCCAGAAGGGGTTGAACATGTCGTGGGCCAAATGGGGGGGACATCTGGGAGGGTGTCTGGGCCTCGTTTTGGTCATCCTCCTCCTACTTTTCCTGCTCCTGCTCCTCCTCCTCCTCCTCCTCCTCCTCCTCCTCCTCCTTCTCTTCCTCCTTTCTTCGACATATCACATGTGGGGGTCTCCAGGGGCCTCGTGTGGGCCTCGAAGAGGAAAGCAAGGATTGCAATCAACACCGTCGACACCGCGTCCACTCGGAACAGGGCCGCGGGCCAGACCCCTGTTCCGCTGTGAACGGGTCCCTGGGCAACAATTCACTGAATTCGACGGTGGGATGACGCGGACCCTCCTCCTCCTCATCCTTCTCGTCGGTCTCCTCGTCGGACTGAAAACATGATAGTGTAGGCCGTGTTGGAGTCCCCGTGGAGGCTTCAAGGGTACCCCGCACGTGGCTGCAAAGCCCGAAGAACAGCCAGATGGAACCATTCGAAAATCGTGAGATGGTGGTGAATTTTGATAGTGGGATGGGGAAGTGTATGATAACATAATCAAATAGTCACTGCGTGGGGCTCCCCACATGTGCATCTATTTGTAGAAGCCTGTCCGCCGTGAGCGTCTAGGCGCAAGGGTTGTCGAATGCAAACGGGCTTGATGTATAAACGAGGTGCGTGCGAGTGTCAATTAGTCCAGGTGTGGGAGGATGTGTACGAGTGGGTCTGAGAACGCGAAAGCCAGAATATGAAGTGGGCAAGTCTGCGTGTGAGCGGATCTGACTATGTGTAAGGAATGCGAGTCTGACTCAGAATGGGTCTGAGTATGGGTGAGTCTGACTAAAAGTGAATACGAGGGTGGGTGGGCCTGAGTGTGAGTGATTCTGAAGGTGAGCAAATCTGAGTCTGAGTGGGTATGATAATTAGTATGATGAGTCGGAGCCTCAGTCTGAGTGCGTCTGAGTACGAGTGAGTCTGGCTACGAGTGAGTCTGAGGGTGGGAGGGTCTAAGTGTGAGTGAGCCTGCATGTGAGTAAATCTGAATGCGAGTGAGTCTGTTTATGAATCTGACGAATACGAATCTGAGCATAAATGACTTTGACCACGAATGAGTTTGACGATACGTGATTCTGTGACATCCTCGAAGTATGGGCCCCGTGGGCTGTTGAAACCAGCACCTCACCCGAGACATCGTCAGAATCTGTTTGGAACGCAGGCGAATCTGACCACCGAAGCACGCAAACAGCTTGAGACATCCTCGCAATCTGGGCCCCCTGCGAACACCAACGCCTCGCCCGAGACATCCTCGGAACATGCTCCCACAATGAAGGATGTTGAGCATGTAAACAGGCACACCGCTCGAGGCATCCACGCAATCTGGGCGCGAACGGGGCCGTGCAAGATTCCCTGGCGTCCCCTTGGGTGGGCGAGAATGACAACCAGCGCCTCGCTCGAGACATCCTCAGAATTTGCTCCGCCATCAGCAGCATCATCATCATCATCATCATCATCATCATCATCATCATCATCATCAGCATCGTCAGCATCATCATTATCAGCATCATCATCAGCATCATCAACATCATCATCATCATCACCACCATCATCAGCATCCTCATCATCACCATCGCCAATCATCAGCATCAGCATCAGCGTCAGCAGCATGATCAGCAGCATCAGTAGCATCATCATCATCCTCAGCATCAGCATCAGCAGCATCATCATAATCATTACCATCATCATCATCAGCATCGGAATCATCATCATCGTCATCAGGATCATTGTCATCATCAGCAGCATCATTGTCATCAGCATGAACATCATCATCATCAGCATCAGCAGCAGCGACACCGTCACCACCACCAGCATCATCATCAGCAGCATCATCATCAGCATCATCATCAACATCAACATCAGCATCGTCACCACCAAGAGCAGCCACGTCCGCAACATCATCCTCACCTCCAGTTAAATCCCACCATCATCATCATCGGCTCCATCATTGGTGTCATTACCATCGCTATCATCATCATCATCATCATCATCATCATCATCATCATCACCATCATCATCGTGATCAGCAGCGTCAGTAGCATCATCATCAGTATCCTCCTCATCATCAGTAGCATGATCAGCGTAGTCCTCGTCATGATCAGCATCCTCATCATCATCATCATTATCATCAGCATCATCATCATCATCATCCTCATCAGCATCATCATCATCAGCATGCACTTTCAGCGTTGGGAGCATCAGCCCCTCTGACTTCATCATTGCCATCAGCATCATCACAATCGTCTCCATCATCATCAGTATCATCGCCGTCGCCATCAGTTGCTGGATCGTCATCATAATCGGCATCACCAGCAGCATCATCCTCATCACCATGACCATCGCCATCATCAATATCACCAATACAATCACCATCAGCGTGACCATCACCGTCACCATTACTGTCGCCATCATTATCAGCATCAGCATCATCACCATCATCATCAGCATCATCATCCTCATCCTCAGCCTCCTCAATATCCTCATCCGCATCCTGTGCCTCACCATCATCAGTATATTCATCAGTATCACCA